GGGAACCTCGTATACGCGTCAGCGACTTTAATTGACAGGCCCTTCCGTGGTCTCAGAAATGTTAAGGTTTAATGAGGCTTTTCCGCCACTGTCCAAACATCTAGAGAATTGTTGCCTGAATTGCCTGCAGTTGTCGAAGAAAGAAAAGTATTTTGTCGTAGTCGTAGTCGGCAGCAATGATAGCCTAAATCCATTCTAAGCGGCTGTTCTGGATATCTCAGCAAAGGTCGCTTTCGCCTTAAGGACGACCATTGTTCCGGCTTGCATTCCTTTCTTAAACGGTGGGTCATTTTTATTTTGGGGAGTTATGCACTTGGGAATAATTGCTTTTCATTGAAGGATGTTCATTTTTCCACAGCCAATCGACAGTGTAGCAAGCTCACGGTTCCCTTGGCAATTGGCGGTCACAAATTCTCTAGCAACTCTGGAGCGGTAAAATTTATATATAGCGCCCCTTTCCTGCCGTAGATAGTTTCTTAATAGAAGTACTTGTAGCCTCCGGTTGATATCAGAGCAAGGGTTTCTCACAGTCTGTGGTTATTCGGCACAGTGTTCAGGTTCACCATTAAGGCGTTTACAACTTTTGGATTTTGCCGAGGAAAGTAGCTGTTGAGGCTGTGGCACCATGATGAACGGAGCTGTGCTATGCACGTTGTTACCAGCTGCTGTTTATCGTGCCCCGCTAAACAGTGGGTCTTAGTACGGCTTGAAACCAATTTTGCAGTCTTCCAGCTGCTGTCTGACATGCCAAAGGGCGGTGTTGGATAGATCGAATCACAGCGTTGTTGGTGTGGTCCCTACGTTGACATTCCAAGAAGAACTGCTGTGTCGCCTACTGACACGTTTGAAAACTTCTGAACTGCATACAACTTTTTCCAGCTGACCGTATTTGACGGTGCATAGTTTGCTACCTACCGGCCCTTATCTTTGCTAGCAGTGCAAAATTTGTAACCGAATGTAAGGTGCAAGAAGTTCTTGCCAAGAGTACACAAAGATCCCAAATAAATTCAGCATGAGCGCAAATGCTGTATACCATTGCGCATCAAAAGGCTTAAAGCTAAAAAAAAACACGACGACTAGAAGACTACCAAATGATTGCAAGAGATAGCGCCAATGGAAGCCAGTTGGCAACACCAACACCTAAATAATGCAAAGTGACAGAAGTGGATGCCAGCAGAGTCAAATAAGAAGGTGTCTTCTGCAGTAAAAGTTTTCCAAAGCACCTGTGGCTATGAGTCAACCATTGTGCAGCAGGGACATGACTGCTGTGGCATGCAACTAGTATTTAGAATGCAATGTGCTGCTATAATAATAGATGTCTGCTGGGACGGTGACACGAAAGAAGGGCGTTGCAAAAGTGATGAGCCCGTTGGGGGTGTTAAAATGCCAACTGAATGTTAAGTGAAAGTGGCAGAAAGAAAAAAAATATATATGTATATTTAAAAAGACATCATGAAGATAAGTGGGAAAGAGGAAGACAATTTTCGCATATTTTAGGAAAAAAGGGAACTTAGCAAAGTGTCACTGAATAAGTAGAGAAAAAGTAAGTCGATTTAAAGTTTATTTTTTTACAACTACTTATGCATGTATATGTGTATTGTATTTGACTAACGGATCACTGGCTTATGGATAGTTTTCAGCTATTTCCGGTGAATGCCCGTGAAATAAGGTAAGTGCATATAAATATGTGTCTATGTGCACATTGTGTGTATCCGTAATACATGGCGACGTTATAACTTGTAGATATTTATCGTACTTTAAAGCTATAATTTTAGTGCTTTGCATGCTCGTTTTTCTCCTTCGCTTTCTGTTAGTGAGTTTCCGTAGGGCCGTTAAAATGATTTAACTTTATTGAGGCGCTTAAAAACTTGAAACTTGTTATTGTGCCAAATGTGATGCTATTGTGTCGTGAGACCTTAAGGTGTTTTTTTTCTGTCAAAGTTTATTTAAGTGTCAATAAAATCGTTTTTGGCAGGTACTTTGGCTGATTTGCTTACATGAGTGGCTGTGTGTGTTGGTTTGATGATTTAGTTTATTGCCAAGAGATTTCGATAACCGCTGTTGAAAATTTGTATACGAAAGTTGGATCATTTGCATAGAGAGTGTTAAACAAGTAGTTTGTGTATTTTAAGGGAATATAGTCTTTGGCGATGAAAATAAAAAGCAGATGATAGAAAATTGAAATAACAAGTTTGCGTGATTAGATGAGAAAATATCAGAAGATTTTTTAATGAATGTTTCTTAGAAAACCAGAACTAAGTACATAAAATTAAAAAATTTACCCAGCTGAGTATAAAATCGGCATTAGACATTGACCCACGACGGGAGCCGTAGTACCCTCACGAGCAGCATTATACATCGCTGAGTAGTACTGAATATAGCCACAGTTTTCTTTCTCTTGCAGATGCCCTCAGATGATTCATAATTCATATGCTATTTACATCCATCAAGAAGCCGCAGATTTCCAAAGTTGTAGGCTGCTCAGATCTATGTACATATCTGATAAATGAGGTTCCACCCATCATATACGAGCATTTCTCCTGTCTGAGCTTAGTTGCCAGAACAATTGAGAGCACCATCTAGAGCATTTCCGGCCACACCAATACTAAACACATCTGCATAAGAGTGCTTGCCAAGCATGTGAGAAGCGAAAGCATAACATCGTGCCTACACATCGTTAGCGTTGGTGTGAAAATAAGAAAGTAGAACTATATAATTTGCATGGTTTAGTCGGCTCTGACGCGGAGTATTCAAATTTACGTTCTAAGCTACAGTACCCTACAAGCCACACTGGCTTGGTGACTGGAATGGCCTAGGTTTCCGTTTCAGAATTGAAGTTAGTGTGTCGCTGGCTGATGCTCGTTCAACATATAGTGGACTACTGACTGTGGGCGTAAACACCATTCTATCGGCTCGACTCAGTTGTTTCATATGCACATAGAATCAAGGGCATTCAAAGAATGCGTGGCGGAGGTCTTTCTCCACCCCACTTCCGCAGTAGTCGCAGTACGGGTCGTGCTCATGTTTAAATTTAAACAGGTATGCCTTAAAACAGCCTGCTGTCTGCTAAAGAACTGGCTCAGGTAAAAATCTACTTCGCCTTGCGTTATATTAAGCCAGGATTTCAGGGTTCGTATGCAACGATAGATCCAACGATCTTCAGTCGTACTATTCCACTTGTTTTGCCACTCTGTAATGCTGATTTACCGGGCTCGACGTCGGTCTATTTGAGTTAGAGAATGCGGGCGGATGCATGAAGCGTCAATTCTGTCGCCAGTATATCCATGGGTGTCATAGTGGCGATTACGGGAGCTGCTTCGGCTGACACGGTTTTGAAGGCGCTGCAAACTCGGAGCGCACACAAGGGATATGTAGAGTTGATTCCGCAGAAGTGTGCTGAACACTGTGCCGCGTTTGACCCGATTGGGGCCGCGTACAGTATTTAGCTTTTAACCATACTCGCTAAGAGTAGACGCATGCGTTGTTTCGGTGACCGCGTGTTGAGCATTATTCGCGATAGTTCCGGAATCATTGGAGCCGCTTTCTCCCTCACATAGCTGAAGTGAGCGTTGAAAGTTAGACGCTTGCCTAGCACCACTCTTTCCTCTTGTCACATGTACTGTGCTTACCACTATGTATATAAAAATTTGACCCATAAACTCTAAAACTCTATGTTCTTTAGTATACTTACCTGTTTATTTTTAAATTCATACTTTGTGATTCGTGTATTTTAGGTTTTTAAGAATTTTCTATTTCAGCATTTTTTCGTTATTTTGTGTTGGGATTTGTCTGCCTGTCCTGACCACAAAGGCGGACACCCTACTGGTGCAATTATGAGCTGGTCTCGCCGTGTAAGCCGAATGATGTAGCTGACAAGAAGAGAGAAACAGAATTCTTGATAAATTTTCGTAGTTCCATCGAAGATACGTCAAATATTGTATGTTAAGAAACTATTCACTGGAGCTTCTCAAGCCCGATTGCCTTCTGAGGAAGTGGGATTGATCCTGGAGCACAATGGGTCTGGAAAAGCCGTATTACTTATGGACGCGCACTTCGCAGGAAATTCAGAGATAAAGACGAAAACCGACGTCGCTTCTTCAGACGGATTAGTGAACGAAGGAGAAAATCACTTTGGGGATACATAGCTTTAAGCTCTATGAAATTGTGGGGCCTGTTGGAATAACACCGGTAAAACTTACTGCGGCGCTCGAAACTTTTAGATTGTTTTAAATATGATTGCGTACCGTATCAGCGGAGACTAAACCCTTAAAAGAATAGCCAATACCTATCTTTCGCTCACTATTGACAGTCAATTGCTATTTGCACATCAATCTATTAAAAGGCGAAATCTACGGAGACCACGCCTCACAGCCTGGTCGCATTTTTATATCGATAAACCCTTCAGCGGCTGCGGCCTTTCTGGAGATACCAAGTGCTTTGTGAGTATATGTATAAGAATAAGTATAAGTATAAGTATAAGTATAAGTATAAGTATAAGTATAAGTATAAGTATAAGTATAAGAGCCAGTTTCACGAAAGCAATTTAAGTGAAAAATTATTTTTTTCAGTTTCACCATTTGACTTAATTTTTATTTAAATGGTCACCTTTTCCCATTTAAATATTATTTAAATACGATGATATGCAGCTATGTTCACGTTTTTCTATCAGCTGATTTGAAAGTAGCAGAAGATAAATATATTGTAAAAAATGGAATCTGAAGACGAAAGTGATATGGAGTGCGAAATTTTAATAAATAATTTTATAAATCGTCGTCCTCGTATAATGAGGGAACGACGTAATTGTTTTACATATTATGATGAAGTCGACTTTCGGTATAGGTTTCGTTTGGCTAAACAATCAGCTTGGATGGTACTTGAACTGATTAGGAACGAAATTCGGCACAAAACTAACAAGTAAGTTAACATTAAAGTACCTTCGATTACAAATTCTGCTATTTTTTGATAAATAGTGTAGAAACGGTGCGATCTCTCTCGAAGTAATGCTTTTACTAACACTGCGTTTCTTTGCAACTGGCTGCATGCAAAGAACTGGCGGTGACCTGTGTGGCGTTTCAAAAAGTTCTTCCTGTCGCGCAATAAGGAGAGTGTGTCACAACATTGCATTGTTAAGACAACGATTTATAAAAGTCCCCTTGGAATTAGAAAGCCAAAGAGAAATTCAGAGACAATTTTATAAAACGGCAAAGTTTCCACGCGTGCTAGCTGCCATGGACTGCACACATATAAGAGTACTATCTCCAGGTCAGTACATTAAATAATTTCAACTAATGAGGATTATCTAAAATGCGTCACTATTTAGGTGGGGATGAAGCAGAACTCTTCCGAAACCGAAAGAACTACTTTTCAATTAATGTGCAAACGCTTTGTGACAGCAAACTGAACATCATGGACATCGTAGCCCGTTGGCCAGGATCGTCACATGACGCAATAATACTTAAAAATTCAAGAATATTTAGCCGATTTGAAGCGGGGGAGTTCGGGAATGCAATAGTCGTTGCCGACAGTGGCTACCCTTGCAATCGGTGGATAATGACACCTTTGTTAAAAGTACAAACTCCGGCTGAGGCGTTATATAACGAATCGCAAATCAGAACTCGTAATTGTGTTGAACGTCAATACGGTGTGTGGAAACGAAGATTTCCAGTTCTTGCGCTGGGAATACGAATGAATCTCAGGGAAGTGGAATGTATAATCGTTGCAACCGCAGTTTTACATAACATTTGCAACTTAAACAACGATTGTGTCGCACCAGCAGTCTACGAAAATGAAATAAATAATATCATCGATGCAATTGTTGAAGTACCCACAATCTCAACTTCAGGTCGAAATGACAATTTATATAGAAACCATATAATACAAAACTATTTCGAATGCTTGTAAATTTCTTTTGATTATTAAAAAAATAAACATCTTTAAAACTTCTTTTTTTTTAATTCAGGAACACATTTTAGTATTTATGTAAATACTGATAGGGCACATATGTATGCTTGTAAATATCTTTTATATAAGTATTCAAAAAAATTGTATCTACATATTTAAAAGTCAGATACACATTCTAGTAATTATATAAATTTGTTAATACTGATAAGGCACATAGTATATGAGTGGAAGATCGACCTATCTCGGCAGCCAGTTCGAAAACGCCCTATCTCAGAAAACTTTTCAACAACGCTCTATTTCAGAAAACTTTTCAAGAACGCCCTATTTCTGAATTTTATTGAAAATATCCTATCTCAAAATTTAGTTGAAGAACGCTCTATCTCAGAATTCGGTCAGCTGCCGATTCAAAAACGCTCTATCTCAGCACATTTTCAATGTATTTTCGTTTGAGATGGGACTTTTTTGAGCCGAATTCTGAGATAGGACGTTCTTCAACCAAATTTTGAGATAGGATGTTTTCAATAAAATTCTGCAGTAGAGTGCTCTTGACAAGTTTTCTGAGATAGGTCCATCTTCCACTCAGCCATCGATATACAAAACGAAAACCAAATAAATTCAAAATTGAAACTTTGTTCGAAAGTTAAAAAAAAATCAACAAAGTATTCCAAAAATTACAAACTTTTACAGTTTGTTTAATGTTCATTAATTATTTAGAAAAGTATTGCTAATTTCATGCATTCATTTAATACACTTATTTCGTTTCATACACTGATTTTATGCCAAAATTAGAAAAACTCCAC